ATATAAATAACATAGTATTCAAATTCAGAATGTTTAAAATCTCTTCTGTGGGGTATACATAGTATGACTCTTCTTGCTGATCTTCTATTGTAAATAAAGAATCCATTTTAGTAAAAGTGATTAATGCTTATTTTGAAAATATTAGTCAATACAGAAAGATACCAAATACAAAAAAAAGAAAAAAAAAAAAAAATCTCCGAATCCTAATACCTGGAAATAATTAGACAATATTTGGTTCTATAATTCCATATGGATATATAAACAAGAACCATTTTTATGAAAATTGAAATATATATTTTTTCTTTTTACATTCTAAAAATTTTTTCTTGAAATATAGCATACACATAGAAAAGTGTGAAATTCCAAAGGCACAGCTTGATGAATTTTTACAACTTAGACGCACTCAGCATCATCTAGCTCAAAAAATAGAACACCAGAAATCATATAACTTCTACCATATCAATTTTTCTTGCCAATTTCAAAACTTTAGATAAGTAGAATTATACAATATGTACTTCTTGTACCCAACTTAGTCTTCAATATTATGCATGTAAGATTCTTCCCTGTTGTTGCATGTAGAAAGATTTTGTTAATTATCATCACTGTATTCTGCTGACTGTGTACAGCACAATTTATTTGGGTGGTTTCCAGGTGGATGTTATCATAAATAAAGCTGCCAAACACATTTTCTTTCATGTCTTTCAGTAGATCTGTATTTCTGTTGGAGATCTACATATGCATCTATATTCATATCCACATCCATATCTCTAGTTAGATATGCCTACCTATAAACATGTATTTTCTGGGTAATAATGTATGATTATATTCAGCTTTAGGACGTAATACCAAACAACTTTAGAAACAGTTTGTAGAATACCCATTATTACCACGACATATAAAAGTTCTTGTTATTCTATATTCTGGTGAAACTTTATTAGTGCTGTTCTTTTAAATTGTAGCCATTTGGATGAGTTTGTGGTAGTATCACATTGTGGTTTTAGTTTTATAAAGTCTAATTAAATTGAATACCTTTTACTAAATTTATTGAAAGACATACTCTTCAGTAAACTACCTATTCTAACACTTTCTTTCTTTCTGTTGGATTGACCATCTTTTTTAAGATCACACTCAGTAGATGAACAGAATAAGATCTTTGTTATACAAGGTTAGATGGAATGAACTACAAAAGACAAACATTGTAATCCTGATTTTTTTACTGTTCAAGTTGCTTTGGTTAGCCCAGAAATCGCTGCTTTTTTTTTTTTTTTTTTCCTGGCTATTTTGTTACTAGAATGGGCAGACACCTAGTTTGCCTGAGAGACTGCTAATTTACATCTATGGTCCTTCCTGGTGCAATTATTAATATCCTCCCCTTTTCCTATCAAGAATGTGCTGGTTTACAAATGATTGTATGATCATTCTACTAATTATTTATTGGTTTTTATTTTGTCAATTGATCCCAGGAATGATACCCTGAGGCTGCTGCTCTATCCTGAATGCTAAACATGTACTTATTCTGATTTCAAGAGCCAGGGTTCTCTACCCTGGTAACGAATTCTTTCTTAGAGATCAGTATTCTGTATGTCCTTGTAACAAGAATATTGTAAACCACTTCAAAGTAGACGCACTGAATCCTAACCACCATGAACATAAACGGTAACGATCCTCAGTGGGAATAGGCCAAATACAATTTCCAGCATCCACACCTTGATGTGCACTCATTCTTCTGCTTGGGAATGTGATTCTTGGATTTTCTTATTCATCCTTCATATCCCATCATATATAACATCACCTCTGACCTTAGATTGTTGTTATGTGGTCATAGAATCTCAGGAGCCATAACAATCTAAGATTTCCATTTCCATTGAGATAAGTTATATATGAACTTGCCTTTGGCCTTTGCATCATTCAATTGCTAACAGTAAACTCATTTTTTAATGTTCATCCTGACTCAGAAATGGTGTCCCTACCATCTATTCTTCAGCAGTTCTAACAAGAGATCATATGTAATAAATTTTACCTTCCACAGAGCCTCCCCTCTCTTACACTCTCTCTCCACTTCATTCACCCAAAATTGTTTTGGCACAGATTTCCTCATTTTACCGCTGAGAGAATCACATTATAGTCATCACATTTTGGAAGCATTCAAATGAAGAAAGTAGAATTCTTGGCAGCAAGTGCCCTCCCACACCAGCTCTAATCTGAACGTTACTCAGTTTATCTTGTCAATGGACTCAGTTAGTCTAACCCAAAATATACTATTCAGTACCTGTAACATTATTAAACCCTTACAAATAAAACAATTTTTCTCTAACCTAGTATATAAGTACAATGTCTGATCAATGGTATCTATGCCTGTATAGTAACACTTTTCAGATTTAGCCTGCATCAGGATACAAACTACACCTTCCAAAATCAGTTCTAAGAAAAACCTGTGACCTATAAAGTATTGCTGGAACCAGAGATGAGGGCAGGGAGTAGGAAGAATGTTCCTTAGACTTGAGGACAAGAGACATCGTTGTGACTTACCCGACTGGGGTCATCTTTGGTGTACAGGGTGTATTTTATCCAATCATCATTCATTCAACATGTACTGTGGGACAAATAATAATAAAATAATCAAAGAATTAAAAAACCCAGGGCTAGAAGTCAGAAGATGAGAATTCCAGACACAGCTCTGGAGACGGCCCTTCTCCATTTACAAAATGAGGGAGGGGTCTACATGAGTTTAGTGTTTACTGTTGCTCCAAACAATTTTACCTTTCCTAGACATTTTGATGGGGGATTGGCAAATGATGGCAGCAGTTGGCAAGATCTCAGGGATTAGGAGTATATATCACATACCAGACCAGGGACTGGATCTTCAAGGTGGTCTTGTGGACACGCAAACACAAAATGTTGGAGAAAATGTTACTTTCATGAAGTTCTACTTTACATTAAGGCTGATGCATTTACTAATCCAGAGTGGTGGATATTTTAATATTAGGGATGTTAGAGTCAGCTTTCAAACTGAAGGGAATCTGGGGACAGCACAGGCTTCTCAATGTGCAAGAAGGGAAATTGAAAGGAGAAAGGGATCTTTCTGAGGTCATACAGCTGGTAAGGCAAACACAGGATCAGAACCCAGAGTTCTACACTCACAATCCAGGACATGTGTATACTCATGTCTAGTCTTCCTCATGAATAGCAAAGAGTAACTATCCAGTATCTTAAGGCTGTCTTCTCTTCAGAATGTCATTTCCAACAGCAGGCATGGTAGCATATTAAAGGCAGAGGCAAGGAACCTAGGAGAAGCTGAGATGATTAAAGAGTACCAACCATGTGAAGGCATGCTGTGCTGCTGTGCTGAGCCACGTGCTTTAGGTGGACCAGTACTCTCTAATCTTCGTAACAAGTCAGTGGCTAGAAGGGGGATGGAAGGAGCATTTCTATGCCTCATTTTCTCTCTTCACCTTCAATATAACTATAATTGTTAACAATTATTGAGCAGTCACTACTTGCCAGGCACTGCAGTGACATTTATAATCTCCAGTCCTAATGTACAGAAACAAGCAGGTAGATGTTAAGTCACTTGCTATATTAGTTTCCTTAGTATACTAGACTCCTAATGCCTTGACACAACAAAATACCAAAACTGAGTGACTTCAAACAATAGACATTTATTGTTTCTCAATTCTGAAGGCTGAAAGCCTGAAACCAAGGTGTCTGCAGGGCAGCACTCTTCCTTGTGTCTTCCATCTGCTTGCTGATATGTGCCAGCAATACATATTTTGGCTCCCTTGGCTGGCAAATGCTTCACTCTAGTCACATGGCTGCCTTCTCTCTGTGTGTCTTCACATCTTTTTCCTCTGTGAATATTTGTCTCTGTGTCCAAAATTCACCTTAATAATAGATACCTGTTATGTTAGGTCTCACATTAGGGTTCACCTAATTACTTCATTTTAAATCAACTACCTCTGTAAAGACCCTATTTTCAAATGAAGCCTGCTAACCTCTTTGGTGAGAATCCTTTAGTGCAATCCTTACCACTAGCCTCAGTATATAAAGCTACCCAGTATAAGATCGATAATGTCATCCAATCTGTCTCACTTGGAAAGATGCTTTAAAACTATAACATTTGGAATGCTCATAATTATTTTAACAAGTTACACTACAAATCTGGAAGGGAAGGGAGAAGGTCTGATTCTTTGGTCCACAGTTCTCACTCATTCCAGATTTCCTCAATCTCAATGACCTTTTCTTATACTTCTCATGTTTCATAACCTAAAGGCAGATACAAAATGCTATTTCTCCATATCTATGTTTTTACATGACATCCTGAGTTCCTTGAAAGAAATCTATATTATAGATTTCTCATAAACTGAATATACTAATAAAAATATAAATAGATGCTGGCCATGATCTGAGCCACACCCAAACTAAGTGATGAGTGACACTAATGGCCGTCCTCAGAGAAGAATATACCAGAGAGATAGTATAGCATGATGCTTATCATTGAACTTCAGGGTAGGATTGCCTGGGCTTGTATCCCTACTAGTTTACTTATAGGATATGTAAGTTTAGGCAATTAATTAACCTATGTGCCTTAGTTTTTTCATATGTCAAATATCAGTAACAAGAGTACCCAATTTAGAGAACTTGAAAGGATTAAAAAGGTAACTCATTTAAAAGCATTCACTTCCTAGTGCTTTATAATGGTTCAATAATTTTTAACACTTAATCTGAGTGTGAGGAGATGAAACTTGAAATAGTTCAGTTTTTTTTCTCTCATAATATTTCTAGCTACCTCCATCCTTACAAAACACAAGATGCATACCCAGACACACGCAGAGAAACACACACAGAATATTTGCTGTGCTTATTGTGAGATTTCTCTTCCCTACCATCTTCATCACCATAGCCAACTCTATTAGTAATTTGGGCTGGAATTCGTAATTTAACTATTGTAGAAGGAAATAAGTGAGTAGTGTGAAAACTCATGAGACCTCCTGGGTTACATCATGTTCTCCATTAAAATTTTGACCAGAGCCCGTGAGTATGGCCTTGGTGGAGCCAACTGCTGTAGACAGGCTGCGGGCTTTGCTGCCGTGAAAGTGAAGATTAAGTGCTGGAAAGGCGTGGCCACTTGGCTCTGGGTGGCCAAAGATGAGAACTGCAGCATCTGCAGGGTAGTGTTTAACTGCTGCTGCCCCGACTGCAAGGTGCCTGGCGACAACTGTCCGCTGGCGTGGGGCCAGTGCTCCCACTGCTTCCACATGCACTGCATCCTCAAGTGGCTTCACGCACAGCAGGTGCAGCAGACACTGCCCCATGTGCCTCCAGGAGTGGCGGTTCAAGGAGTGAGGGCCCTGCCTCCCCCTTGCCGGAGGCGGCGTCCTGAGACCCCTTCTCAGGCTGGTGCCGTTGGCTGTAGTCGCTGCTGGGAACGGTTCCCTTGGGTTGCAACAAGGTGGAAACAAGGGCTGGAGCTACGTTTGTTTTTCATTCACTATGTGACACTTTTATCCAGTAAGTAAAATTCATTAAACTACTCAAGTCCTGAAAAAAAAAAAAAAAAATGACCAGAAAGTGCCATTTTAAGATGTGGGATGAATACCTAGTTTTTGTTTTGTTTTGTTTTGTTTTTTTAACTGATACTTTTATTTCCTCTGTGATTATTATTTCTTTATATAATATAGTCTTGCTCTAGCCACAAGGATCTTCTCTGTGCCTTGAAGTGACTTTATTATTATCATTCATCGTAGCAGTTTGTGCCTCTGCTAATACTACACTACCTAGATAAAATTCTCTGGAAAACTTGAGACTCATATGTACAAATAAGAAAAGTAATATGAAATAAAAATGAGAAAATAGGTCATATATTTTCAACAGGTCTCACCTAAATTCCTGAGATCATTGATTTATTCAATTGGCTTACTTTAAGTCTCAGTTCAAAACCATTATGAAAACTGTAATTGACATTACTATTAATTTTACTTTGTATTTGGTTTCTATTACTTGCTTAATTCCTAAAGAATACATCCTCTAACAAAATAGTACTGGCCCAGTACATTGTGATGATAGCAAAAGACAATGGAATGGCCAAAATGGAACTTAATATTAGGCTCAGGGTAGACTAAGCCTGAGAGCCATGCCCTTCAAACCTCCCTTGTTGCTCAAATGTGACTAAGTTTGACACTGACTCCTAGGCCCCATTCACTCCCCCAAATTGAGACGAGATCAACAATTGGAGCAGGTTCATCCTGGCACTAAGAAACGTCAAAACCAAACTGAAAGATGACTGGGCAGTGATGCTTTTGGAGAAAGATCTTGATCAAAAAGTAGAAATGGGCCAGGTGCAGCAGCTCAGGCCTGTAATACCAGGACTTTGGGAGGCTGAGGGTGTTGGATCACTTGAGGGCAGGAGTTCGAGACCAGGCTGGCCAACATGGTGAAACCATGTCTCTACTAAAAATACAAAAGTTCACCTGGGGTGATGGTGCACACCTGTAGTCCCAGATACTCAGGAGGCTAAGGCAGGAAAATTGCTTGAATCCAGGAGGTGGAGGTTGCAGTGAGCAGAGATTGTGCCACTGCACTCCAACCTGGATGATGGAGTAAGACAGTCTCAAAAAAGGAGGGGAGGGAGATGTAAAAATTTTCAGAATGAAAATAAAGTCACTAATGTTATAAAAGAAAAGAAAACCTGACAAATAGGATAGAGCCAGAAAATGCCAGGAATAGAGGGTTCTCAGGCTTGCATAACAAAACTGTCACAAACAACTCTTCAAATGCCACACCCTTGCACAATCTCACACACAAAATACTCCTGCAAATACGTCTGCTCAGTAACTGCCTGTCCAACCTTGAACTAGCATCACCCTTGCTATTGATCTTTGTAGCCAAGGATATTTCTTTCAAAACAGTCATATAATCCCCCTTATTTTTTCCCTTTAAAAACCATTGTATTTTTCCCTCCTGAATAGAAACGTGATTTACTAAATCTGTTCCCTTTTTATTTTAGACAGTTTTTCTCTATTTGTTATTTAGGTTGACAGATAAATATTACTCGTTTTATCTACAACTGAGGAAATAAGACTCAGAGAATTTATGTAACTTGCACCAAATCACACTCCAGGTAGGAAGTGGAGTAAGAAATGAAAGTGAAATCCATACGAAACCACAGTTCATATTCTTGGCACTATTCCACAGTGTTTCAACTGGACCATTAAATAATACAGGAACACAGAATGCTCAGGCCTTAGAGAGAGTGTTACCATCATGAAAGTAGTTAGACTCATTAAAAAATTAGTGATTTGGCACTTGGACTGCCTGGGTTCTAGCAACTGGCTATTTTTATGACTTAAGGTAACATTTAGCCATGTCTCAATTTTATTTTACATAAAATGAAGGTGATGATACATACCATATTGGATAAACATGAAGATTAAATGATATATATGCTACAGATGATTATGTGATACACACATATGTGTATATATACATATATATCTGTATTAAATTTAAAACATAAATGGTATATATAATCTCTTTAGCTCTACAAATAAATCAGACTATTTACCAAGCATTTAGAGAAACTTATAATTTTAATAACACAAACAACTTGCGAAACTGCTCTTACTTCTTACATAATGAAAATGACTATGTCACCTTTCATACTTATATATTAAAATAACTTAATGAAACTACAGAAAAAAATCAACTTGAGAATACTCATTGTCTTTAATATATGCCAAATATTAAAAACAATATTTATACCTCTAGAGTCCTTTCAAAATATTGCAATCAAAATGTGTAAACATTGCTGACAACAAAAAGCTGGCATTGGGGTTCCCATAAGTGGGTTATCTGAAACGGCCTAGAGATAAGCAATAAAAAGTCAGTGTGTTTTACTGAGATAAATACAGAAGATGTCCTAATCCACCAGACATAAGTTTGAGATTATCAGGGCTTATGCTCCAACATGAGAAAATAAAATGGTGAAATTTGTTTTGTGTAAGATTTTAATAGATGATTAAATTATCATGCACATCATTTTCCACTCTGCAACTGGGTCCTGAACAGAATTTACTTAAAAGAATAGTCTACATTTCATTGGGAAAATATAATTTCAATGCTATGGTTTGAATAAGTACCTTTTAAACTTCAGGTGTTTTCAAAGTGATTGTATTTAGAGTTGTGGTCTTTGGGAGATGATTGGGTCGTGAGGGCTCTGCCATCATGAAAGAGATTAGGTGCCCCTACAACAAAATCTGGACAGACAGAGTTCATCTGTTTTTATCCTTCTGCCTCCCACCACACAAGGACACAGCTTTCCTCCTGGTGGGAGGATGCTGCATCAAGGCACCTCCTTGAAAGTGAAGAGCAGCCCTCACCACACGCTGGTCCCTTGATCTCAGACTTCCCAGCATCCAGAACTGTGAGAAATAGATTTATTTTCTTTATAAATTACCCACTCTGTGTTATTTAGTTATAGTAGTGCAAACTAAGGCATCCATTATGTTAATAGGAGGGAAAAGGTAGAGTAATTGTTACAGGAATTTTGGAATTATTTTTCCTGAGTAACCACTTGAACTACTGAGAGAAGATTGACAGAAAGGCTACACCAATGCACCTTTGGTGTCAATGATTAAAAGAAGTTGACATTCCACTGAACACATTATTTTATCCAACAATGTTAAAACTAAACCCAAAAGACTGCTATTTTTGACTAAGGAGAAATTTTTCAGAAGGCAATTGTTTAAATGTCTATGGCCCTCTGACGACATGGCACTTCCATATAACCCCTTCCTCAGAATATTTTTACCTGAGCTAGTTCTATATAATTTCACATCTATTTTCATTATTTGAAATGATGACTCCATTCCAGGTGAAGTATGATACATCCATTATGCAGAGAGACAAGGAAGAAAATAGCGTCTATAAATACTAAAGCATTACTGATGTTTCCTGAGAATGCAAGACTTACAAAGGTTGATACATTCACAGATTATAAACTACATACACTTTTATATAACCATTGAAGACAAACACAATTAATTATAATTCTCGTTGCAACATTTTTGAGGGGATAATGGATAGATTATTTTCATTTTGCTAAACTCATTCTGCTTACAATATTATTTTGAGGAAATATTGGTTTCACAAATGTGAACTCATTAGCCAAGTTCAGACACAGACCTACACATTTACCTTTATTCCCTGATTACCTTTTCCCCCTGATCATGACATTTTCTGTTGCTCTAGTAATTTTGACTGTGTCAAGAATGTATGCTGGAAAATAAACTCTGAATTGAAAGCACTGAAACCTGACTTGAAGCAGTCATGCTAATTCTCCTTTCTACCCCTTTTTGACTTAATCCATATATTAAAACTTTTAAAGTCAGCTTTTACGAAATGGATGGTGCAGTCTAAATTCTATGTTCCAGAACCCAGGGATATAGAATAATGTAAAAGGAGCAAGAGAAAGGGTCAACAGTTTTGGTTTTCAGTTGGAATATGCAGAGGGAGAGAATCATTTCCAAATGGTCTCTAATGGTCTACAGGTCAAAATTGAAAAAAATTTCAGTTCATTTCCCACTCCAAAATTCCATAAAATATGTATCTATTACATCAAAGAAGAAGTTGCTCCAAGTTGATTTTTGAATTAAGTCTTTCTTGTAAATGCTATGTATTAAATATGTTCTAAATGCACTTTACTTATTTATTTATTGGAGACAGGCTCTTGCTCTGTCACTCAGACTGGAATGCAGCAGCATAATCACAGCTCACTGCAGCCTGGAAGCTCTGGACTCAAGTGTTCCTCCCACCTCAGCCTCTTGAGTCACTGGGATTACTGATATGAGCCACTGTGCGGAGGACTGGTTTACATTTTTGTGTTCAGAATGTTAAACATAATGACTAGAGGCAGAGTAGTCCCCACAATACAGACTACCTAGCCTTAGGTGGACTCTTAAACACTGGTTTGTTGTCTCCAAGAGATGAAGGCCATTTAAATTTGAATATTACTTTTCATGCCACTTCAGATTTTTAGAATCCATAAGAAAGCAAGTAATTATATGCTCAGACATCAGTGAGTCATCAGTCACATTCATTGTCCGCCACAAAACTATAGCCTGTAATAAACAGACAACTTGTTTATTTCCCCAGCCTGGTTTGCACGAGTCTTACAGTTCTATAAGCAATCTCGATCCATATAATCACTACGTGACTGCTATTCTCATGAACACTCCTGAAATACTGGTTTTCATCCAGCACAGATATTCAATAAAAGCTAAGTGGAAAGTTCACATTTCAAATCTGATCTGTAAAATTTTCCTGGTACAAAAGTACAGCAGGTACGG